GAAGGAGGAGGAGACTGCTAAAATACTAATAGTATGTATTTTACAATTTTTCTTATTCTTGTTTTGTTTATAAAGAAGGGTTTCGCTATTTCATATATTTTATGGGACAGTAGTTGTCATTTCATATTTCAAACTGTTACTTCCAGTTTAATAATCAGATACAAAACATTGGCGATGATACTACGTTTTCGGTTGTTTAAGAAAAAAACTCGATAAGTTCTTATTCAGCTTAAAAGAATCTGTACTATATAAAAACAAAACAATCCAAACCCCATAACTAATATTAACTTGTAGAATGCTTCTTGTACGTCACAAATTGTTTTAAGTGAGGACACTGGCAAAAGTATTCTTATTTAATGCTTCTGTGATAGCCAGTACTTTTTTATTCTTATATCAATTTCCTTTTTCTCGTATTTAATGATTTCTATCACTTATTTTCTTATACAAGTAAATTGTTTATTGTCAGGTGTATTTTAGTTTTTATAATAGATTATTTATTCTGTAGAATTTTTAAAGGAAATAACACTTCTTCTAGATAATTTTTTATTTGTAGCGTGTCACCATTTATATGAAATGGGATCAGATAATAAAATATAATAACAATCATACATACTAGTTGTTATGCTCCGTTTTTAAAAATAAAATGCATAATTATTAGCATGCATTACAGATTTCTCTGCAATTAATCTTTACATCTAAAAGTACATTTATAGACATTTTTCTTTACAAATGTGACGCGTATAATACTTAAACGAACTAGTTTTATAATAAATCATAATGGATGGAACACTGGTAGGACGAGATCAACCGAGAACCTAAAATTTTCATAATATACAAAGAGTACCAAACTTGTCAAGTCTACATAAAATAAAATATTTTTAATTTGGATACGCTCTGCATATTAAATAAATTAGAAGTCGCTTTCTAATTGATTCAATTTTTAAGGGGTTTTCTTTCGTGCTATATTAATTTTAGATTCTCGGCTAACGATTACATACACTATGTAAAAATATTGCTTTCCATGGTTGGCCACTCAATTGTTTCAACTTCTTTTGCTCCTCCTAAATTGTTTTTAATTATATTCTGTAATTTGCACCTGGCCGACCTTTCTTCCATAAATTGGTAGGAAAGCGTGTTGAAATTGGCTTCCAAATTCCTGAATTGATTTTGTAAGGTCTGCACAATGTCCGAAAGATTTTTTATCGTTTGTAACGATTCGATGTCTTTACATCCCTCGTAGTTAGTACCTACGTCAACTGTAAAAGTCCAAAATGAATTTGCACCTCCAACTAAGTTTCTCTTTTTTTTTTGTTTTTTAATAACATACAAATAACATTAGATACAAACCGTCAAAGTTAGTAGAAAGCTATCGTAAATTTACAGAAAAGCCAAATTTACAAAATATATGGACTGAAACGAAAGTGTTAGAAAAAATGTCAACCAGAATAATTTTTTAGTTTTTACTTCATAGAACTCTAATTAAGCACTGAAAACTGTATTTATTCTTTTAACTATACACACAATTCAAAATGATCCTACATCTACATGAGATACCCAAACACCACAAAAGAATATACCTGTAAATTATTGCTTCAATTTCTTTTTAAGCGTTATTTATGTGTACAATACTGGCAAACAATTCAAATATTATGTATAAAAGAAATCAAAACATTAATTAAATCACGATCACCCCCTAGAACATTGAAAATAATTTAACAAACTTTCTCTTTGTGCTACTACTTTTAACGATTATTTTGCTAAACACCCAATAAATAAGTATATAGGGTGTTTATTATTCGTCACTCATAGTGTTGTGACTTCTTCAGTTGTTTAATAACGAAGGAGCCACAACACCAAGTGGAAGCGCGTGGCGCGTGCGGCCGATAAAGATGTGGGTTCTGAGGGGGCGTAAACGGGGGCACTGCTGCTTGGCCGAGATCTATACTCGACCTGCACAAATGTGAATGAGCAAGATGCTTTAGTTCATGCACGAGTACGTTACCGCTACTAAGAAGGTCCACTGCTTTTTATCGCACCAAACGCCAGGAGGGGTCGGAAAATAAAAGAACTCTATATCAAGTCACGGTTTTTAGTACTATTTAGGGATGATATTGTTTTCAAGATGTAAATATTAAATCAGTTGCAGTCAACGTTAAAAACATTTTCTAAAAAAAACTAAATCCAGAAAATAAAATCATCCCGCGTCGTAAGTACTTTTATATAAATTCTACTATTATACTACAATAATGAACAACTACTAGAAACAATAATTTTATTTGCTGTACTAATTCTGTAACTAAAATTTTTAAACAAAAATTCNCACTATACATGCCGGAGTTGCCTGTAACGAACGTTGCATTGAAGCGCGCTCACGGCTCAAGCGATCCCCACTACGAACTCGACTACGTGACCGAGTAGAGGGGGGACATCCGTTGCATGATTTCGTTACATAGCAACTCGCATGAAACGAACTTACCCTACCGTGCGTAAAGAAGTTTCACTTCAAAAATATTTCGTGTAATTAAACAACACGCTACTGAAGTGAAACTTCTTCAAACACACAAACATACTGGGATAGGGTCTAAGGAATTGGTTGCATTGAAGCGCGTTCACGGCTCAAGCGATCCCCACTACGAACTCGACTACTTGGCCGAGTAGAGGGGGGACATCCGTTGCATGATTTCGTTACATAGCAACTCGCATGAAACGCACTTACCCTACTGTGCGTAAAGAAGTTTCACTTCAAAAATATTTAGTTACCTGCCTGATAATACGTCAACATTTATCAGAAAACTTCGTAAAAAGACGAACAAATTCAATTTTGCAATTGTGCAACCAAAAATAGTAGGTACACGGTTCCTAACTCTTACAGGGCTACTTAAGTTCGTCCAAATAGCCCTATCGGGGTCACATATGCGCATACGAGTTACGTACATTAGCACTCATCCCGTTTTTCCCTGGTCTTCCCTACATATAATTAATCGTGCAACTGCAAAAGTTGAGTTACTTTAAAATCCCNAAAAACTAAATCCAGAAAATAAAATCATCCCGCGTCGTAAGTACTTTTATATAAATTCTACTATTATACTACAATAATGAACAACTACTAGAAACAATAATTTTATTTGCTGTACTAATTCTGTAACTAAAATTTTTAAACAAAAATTCTAAAAAGCTTACCTGAGTTGACAGTGTTTCTAGGCTTCACGTTACCACAATAAGCTTCTATTACATCCAAAATGAGCGCGTCCTCTTTATACGTAATAGGTTTGCGACTAGAACGGCCGGGGGAACCATTAACTGTTACACCTAGGGCCAAACATGGGCGAAGAGGCGGGGTGGGACGAAGACAACTGACTGACCAACCTCGACCATTGTTACAAGCCGATTGAGGGGATGGGGTAGAACGGGTGCTAGGGTTTATTCCGCTTCCTTGACGACTGATCGAGTTTGATGTTCCTGTTCCTGTTGTCAGAGGTGACATCTGCTAATAAAAAAGTAAATGTAACTAAACAAAATATAAATGCAACTGTTGGTGAAGATATTTATTGCCTCTTTTTTATGAAATGGCTAGATGAAGAAGCATTACGTCAACGTTTACATTACATAATTAGCACTGTTAATTGAATATATAGAAACACAGTCTAAGAGCACAGGCAAGGGTAAGCAAAGGGAGTTAGGAATTAGTAACGTTTCGGAAGCACACACTGAACAGTCTTTGTGGTACAAATAGCTATCGGAAACACTAAATTTTGCACACCCTTGCCTGTTTTGGTGGCATCGTGTATTCCTGCGATAACTTCTGCTGGTATCTTGGCCTTCAGCCACCAGTGCGCGTATAAGCCCGATCGATAAATTCCCGGCTCGAATGCATTCTCTTTGACAAGATCATTATCAACTTTGGTATTTTGTTCATCTGCATTTTTTGATGAAGCCTGTCTAATTTGGGATAATTTGGAATGGATAAGATTTTCAGAAACACTCGGATGGGGAATAGATAGGCACGAGAGATCAACAGAATTAGTTGATGTAGATGCTACGGCATCAGTCCCAACATTTTCAGACGTCGATGTTTGACAAGACGTCCTAGGTGTTGATCCAAACGGCGACGTACATTGGCATTGCCTTTCAAACTTCCTGGCTTCTATTTCGCTAAAAGTCAGCATATTTAAATCACAATTGTTCAAAAAGTTAGATAAATTTGAGGAATTGGAACTAATCCTATCTTGCGCGGGATCATTAGGAAGTAGATCAGGCGAATTGAGTGTGCAGCTTCCTGCCATTCCTGAATCGGAAGATCTTGAACTACCATTACATGCCAAGGCACAACAGTCACACCTTTTCGACTTATCTGACGGTAAAGGGTCGTCAGATACTTGAACTATTTGATAACTCATACATCTACGAAGTGAATTTAAATTGTTATTCAACTTTCCTAATTCTTCTGATTTAATGTGTGTACTTGAACGTCTTCTAGGTTTCATTGTGGAAACATCAATGCTAGATAAACCCGTTCCGGATCTATTTCTAGGAATATGAAGAAAATTAGCCTGGAAATCCGCTTCTTTTTCAGAAAAATCTTTCGAGTTATTGGAACGTAAAGAAGTACTACTTTCGGTTGATTTCTTTGTCAACTGTTTTCGATGTTTAACTGTATTCGAAGAGTGTTCAGTCAAGTCGCTATCCAATGACTCCGATTTAAAATAATCTCTTGAAGAGCTCAATGCTCCTTCATCTTGATTGTATAATATTTCAGCAACTAATTTGTCCGGCAGTTCGACCGGTAACGGATTAATTGCTAATTCCAACGTACTAGAATGTGTAGAAGGCCCTTCAAAATTTTTATTTCTAGTTCTGCTTGCAACCTCCGACCTATAGGCCAAATTATCATCACTGTTGCTCTGCCAATGTGGAACTTCAACTGTAGTGAGGCTGCTTTGACAAAACCTATTTCCCACAAATTTTGGAGGTAGCGTTTGACGTTCTAATGGACTACTAACCATTGGGATAGTAGTATTAATTTTTAAATTGCAGTCTAAACTTAAAAGGTTCTCGCATGCACCTAAAGGCTTTACTTCGATATTGGAACTTGCATTGGAATTCTCAGAAAACTGGTGAGTTAATTTTGGCCTTAAATGGTTCCCGTTATTTTCTACATTAGGATTTTCTATTATTTTTGCACCGGAATTGATTTCTCCATAATCGATAAAGCTCTCGTATTTTTCTATTTCCTGTTCTTCCCCTGTTTGAGGATTATAATATCGAATATACCCGAAAGGGTTACTAGAACTGCTACTAGAACTACCACTAGAAGTATTATCACTATCTGATTTTCCATTTAAAGCATTTTGTCTATTTAGACGATTAGGATAATTATTATTACTGCTACTTTCGGAATCACTGTCACTATCACATTCGACAATGCTGTACCTTTGATGGGAATTATTAGTTACAATAACTATTTCGGTTTTATGTTTTCTTCGCTTAACACAACTCAAATCTTTCTTATTTAAATACTCAGAATACCACAGTTTCATTAGCAATCGCAAGTTTATAAGGTTCTCTTTAATTAATCGTCGATAATGACGCGTAAGATTTATGTAAGGAGCAGTAGGAGGATAATTTTGTGTTGGAAATGAAGGCTGATAAGGTAATGGAGGATCGAAAAAATAAGTCAAAACAGAAGGACTAATGCTGTAACCCCGATGATCCAACTGCTAACAAAAATTAAGTTTCTTTTTCTAAATTAAAGTTCGGTAAAATATATACTTACGTGTGGCGGAGGTTGTGGCACAACTTCCGCCTGTGAAGGGAGGGCTTTCTGATTGAAACTATTAACATTAGATCGATGAGGCATGTGCTTTCGTAAAATTTCAACCCAACGGTCTGCCTCTTCCTTACTTTGGCATACTGCTGTTCGTTTTTCTATTAAATGTCCATTTATTTCGAATGCGTTTTTATATTGATCACTGTCTTCTAAGCGAATTACATTGATCCCAGTTAAAGGTAATTTTCCCTGTAAATCCCAAAAGAAATAAAAATAAAAAATTTTTCATTTACTATAACAAACCTCATAAATAAATGCACTTAATCTGGGACTGACAGACAGTATTAGGAGTGTACTGGGAAATAAGACTAAGTATCGATCATGATGCTGAGGTCCCACTGCTACTGATCCCATATATATTATTTCTCCTAAGGTTGAAAGACTTTGGCCTTCCCAGCCTCTCACTGGTCCTGTTAAAACCTGAAGTTCCAGTTCTTTTTGTCGACGAATCGCTGCACAACTAGTCTAGATTTATAATCATATATTGTTAATAATCATTTTTAATGTAACTACAAAATCTTACAGCAATTTCTTTATAAACTGAAACTGATCTTTGAGTGTCTCCTCTATCAGGATGACTCTCCTCCAGGTGTCTTTCCAGCTCCTGTAGCATTCCAGAATATTTCTCTAATCTCCTAAATGGCTTACTTAAGCCCACTGTTAGAACCAAAACACCAGGAGTTGTTGCCCCACATGATTCCATATAAGTTGTTAATTCATCTCTATAAAATTAATCTTTAACTTAATTTTCAACTTGAATAAAGTTGCTCATTTACTTGTATTTATCTAAAATGAAGGCTGCTTTTGGGTGAAGTGAACAGTAACCTTGATGAACAGATTTCATTTTTGGAGCCCATGTTAAGAATAATCTTCCAACTCGTTGCTCCTCACTGGTCTTAGATTCTTCTTCTTCCAATAAATGTAACAGCTGTTGGTGTGTATCCAGTACTTCTAGTAAATTTCCAGTCAACTGTCTGTATTCATCCACAGAAAGACTAAAAAAAAATAACTTTACAAGCAACATAAAATAATTACAGCATGTTACTATACATTGAGCTTTTTTCCAATGGTTGTAAGAAATTTGAAACTAATCCTTGTTGTTCTGTTACATGGGCCTTTTCAGAGTCAATTAAATCTTTCAAAACAACAGAACGGTACTGCTTTTGCTGATTTACCATAGCCAGATTTGTGTGCACATCTGTATCAGTAATTTCTTTAATTTTTAAACATAATACAGTATTTAATTGTACTAATACCTTTGCATTCAACAACATAATTACTGGGAAACCAACCAGTTTTATCTCCCAAAGTACCTTCCCACCAGCCACCTTCTTCCTTCTGAGTTATAACTATTTTATCTCCTTTTTTAAAGCACAACTAAAATTATGTTCAAGGAAATAAAAGGGCAGTTACACTTATGTATTATAAATATACCTCATCATTGTTTTTCCCTTTAAATGAATATACAGCCTGTACTGTCATCGGTTGTGAGGACATTTTGGGGAAAAACTCACCTTATCTGTGAAACTCACACTGAAAACATTTAATCATTAATTGGTTCTTTTAATGGGTCATGTAACCTAAAAGTTAACTCCACAATTTTAAAAGACATCGAATGGTGCAATAAATTTGGAAGACTGTCACATTCTTGGCAAGTTTACTCACTCTTTTAACTTATATTTGGAACTTTGCCAAATGATGATACTAATAATCAACAGGAAGTTAGGATCAAGGTTTCAATATAAACAAATTAATTACTCAAAAAAAGAGTTAAACAAAACATACCTTTTAAGTAGTTAATATTTGTGCTCATTACAGTGTACTATGAAAAATATTTATTATGAACACATGACTGACAGTATTTCATATAAAGTTAAATTTTGTTTAATACCACTGAAAATAACACTAATACATAAATAATTGTAAAAAACGTTTTTAATTACAAAAATTAACAATATTAACAATAACCTAACCTTTAATTACTTCCATTTGACAGTTATCATAGAACATAGATATCACAGAACTAGACCACAGATCCTCTCCACTTCTATGACTGCTATAGTCTATTGTCTATCTATGGTTGTAGTTAATGCCATCTATTAGTGTTTTATGTAATTGTAAATGTTACTATGTTCCGCTAGATGTCTCTTCATACACGACTGGATATTAGAAATAATTTCAGTTTTTATAATGTACTGGGTGATTGATCAATATTATCACAACCGATTATCGTAAGTACCCTTTTTAAATTTACGAGGGAATTTTTTATAATAAAAAAGGAAGCACTCTATACCCAATACAATCTATTTACTAACATGTGAATAAAACGATAATTTCATAATAAGATTACATAAGGCTTATTAATTAAAGTTTCAATTTTATGCCATCTTCTTTGACTCATATCATGATGAAAATACCACTACTTAAATTTTTGTTTTACGACAATTATAATCTCTAAATTGTAATTAACCACATTTTAATTTGTTTTTGCAATCATAAATGATGTAATCTAAAGTAGTACGTTGATGTTCAACATAAATTATAGCTCCATATTTCGAAATTAGCCTTCATAAGCAGAAACTATACTTTACTATACTTATGTGCACCTACTAATTGAAATAGTAAAGAGAACGTGAAAATGTCCTTAAATAATGTAATTATGTGCGTGTTTTCCTTATGAAAGTTGCTCTCATCCATGCACTTGCTAATATGTTCAGCGGACGCCTTTTGAAACAGTAGGATGCATTGCGATGATATCCCCATTTAACACAATTTATACGGAAATTGTAACAAGTAGGATATTCGTAACAAAGTAAAATCGCAAACACTTTAAATCCATAATGATGTCCAGATTTTTCGTATTTGGCTCGTTTAAATTGAATTTCATCGTTAAAATAATATAAAATTGTAGTCAGTAATGTCTTCATCGAGTCACTTCTGATTTTACTGGTTTGTTGAAAATTACCTTTAAATGACCCGTTCGTTTTATGTTTTACAAAAAAAAAATAAAACACAACTTGAGACAATATAATTTAGATCAAGCAGAGCAGTACCTATAGAAAATTGCAAGAATCAAATTTTCGGTTTCGGAATATTTTTATTTAATTACTTATAGACCGGGAACTAATGACAAATAAACTTCTCCAATTGTACGGCACGTATGTACCTTGTTGGGGGTTGATAATTTACCCCTTGATAAAATAGATAGAAAGACTCTTGTGAAGTTAAAATTGTATTTTTAGAAAGACATATGTTTTTCCCTGTTCCATGAATAATTAAAAAAGAATACACTGAATTAAGAACTAAAATGTAGATATGAGAAACTTTTTTAACCATTTTAATTTGTTCATACTGTTACTTTCAGCTGGTTATGAACTACCATATTACATAAGAGTTTCCTTGAAATTTGTGCTTATTTGCGTCAGAAAGTTTTTACTAATTCGTGATTCGTACTAATTGTTTAGCATATATGTACTTAATATTAACCACATGAACAAAAGTGTTAGTTAAAATTCGTTAACGTGTATTATTATATAAGATGGAACAGTTAATTATGACCGATATGAGTTCCTTTATGGTCAAAAATGAGAGATCAAATTTCTTTACTTATTCTTACTTTTTTAATATCATTGTCGGCCAACGTATGATTTTTTTTGAAACAATTTCGAAATGATGATAAAAGGACCTTAATTAGAATCTTTGTTAATCGCTAATCATACAATTGTCATCAGCAAGTAATAGACGAAATGTACCTGTGCGTTCAAATTTTTTATTTATTTTTTTTATATATTTTGCAGTTAGGTTTTACGTGAAGATTATAAGTTACTTTAATAAATAAAAACAGTAAAATGGAACTGGGACATAATAATTTTATTGCTTTTCTTAAAGCAAGACTTAAGGTGCCTATTTTCCGTCTGCTGTATTTTATTTAATAAAACTAATGGCAATTAATTGATGGCGTCATTTAAGACTAATTTACACTTAATCAAACAAGTTTTGCCCACCTGATTATAAAAAAGTCGTACTATTAAAAACATTGACCCATTGCATGGTGGTATAAAGTTATTCTCTGAAACGAAAACCGGTTTGAAATTTTTACAACATGCTTGGAAACTTAAATTATCCAATGGTATGAACAAATAAATTATTGCCAGTTGAACTAGTCAAAATTTGGACAGATTGTCGATGGTACATGGCTCTTACATTTTAATCATTTATGCGAAACGTCGGTGTATGCAAAAATAAAATATTTATTTTTACCCCCAACTGGTTCTGATTTCTCTCTAGAAAGGGTAGAAATATGTAAAATTTATCGTAATTAAGTTGCTTTATTCTGCATTATCTCTATTCTTTTTGATTAAATTTTTGTTTATTTTAGATCGAGTTTGCCACTTGTTAGCGCCACTCACAGCAAGTAAGTACATCTATTGTATATTTTAGTTACTGAATTTGATACTGCTTGGCTCTTTGTTGGCACTTTTCAATTACCTATTCTAAATTACATCCTGAAACTCGCTAATTGGTTTTACCTACATTGGTACTATTGATAGTACAAACAGCAGGTATGCGACTTAGATATCTCCGTCGTATGCATGTATATGTACGTGCATGTAATGTTTTAATGTATTTTAATACCTATGTACACTTTCCATGGAATTCGTCTGACATACATTCTGCAAACACTAGCTTCTCAGCAAATGGGTACCCGAGTGTCTTTGTGACTTCGGGCTATTTCTCGATTATTATACTACGGCATTTTTTGTATGTGCCAGTTCTATATAACGAATATTTCATTAATGACCCAGATTAAACGAAACTAGACCCTGGAAATTACTGATCGATATTAATAACAATAATACAACCATGCATAAATAATACCATAAAAATTATTAGTTTACATTTATACCTTAATTAATCTAATGACAATTATCATCTTCCTATAAATGCTCTCATAATATAATATAGTGTGAAACTTATCTTCATAATTCTGTTACTGTCGTAATCTGACCAAAGTTTTGAGGGGTGTGCATGTAGGGTCCCGAAGAGGATAGCCACACTACCTCTTGTGGGCCCTATGAGGCTGCCCCCTAGGGCAAGCAAGGGGCATTTAACGCCTTGCCGCATTTACGCATCAACAAGAATGCCGTATGTGACCCCCGCGGGGAAAAATTATATCTACTCCATTAACAATTTTTGGAAAAATGAACTTTATTACTAATAAAAAAAAGACAATAAATACATATATCACTAATTCGTAAAATTTGTTCGCTCTTAAGTAAATTTGTGTTACTGGGCTGTTTTGTAGTCAACAATACTTTAAATTGCAATCGTTTTACTGTTGTTCGACCTGATGTGCGACATAATTGCTCATGGGGATGATTATTATAAGTTTTTTCATTTTACCGAGAGTATTTTCAAACGGATTTGCCTCATAAAGCCCCCATAAGGTAGATTTAATTCTAAGTTTGATACATGTGATACGTTTCCCCTTAAGACCTACATGGAAAACCCATAAGACAAGTATCACCACTTTTTTGTGGGATTTTCATGAGAAATCTACGGGGAAATCCCCATATCGGCATGTCCCTCATTAGTCAGATGAGGGCAGCACGCTACATGGGGCATGCCCCCTATGAATTCTAATCGGATGTTATGGATGTATGATGATTTCGGACAAATGATGGTATTGCAGATACTTTGGAAAAAGTTGGTGCACTCAGAAGTGTGATCAGATACTAACACAGAGTATATACGAGGGTGGATTGATAAGTTTCCGGCCTGACCAAGAAAAACAAGGTTTTTAAAAATTTTTTTTTTTTATTTCTCAACATAATCTCCTCCAAGGCTGATACATTTCTCATAGCGGTGTTCCAGTCTATTAATGCCATCTCTATAGACTGATTCGTCAAGCTCCT